CGCTACAGATGTGAGAATGCGAGATTTGTTGCTACTGAGGTAGACGCTCTCGCTCTTTCTCTGCTGTCTCTTTGCTATGTCTGTAGAAATGGTCGTTAATTCTTAATTTGGGTACGGCACAGACATGTTACAGGTAATAATACAATCAGTGGCGTAGCAAGTCAGCCCCGGGCCCATATGCAAAAAAACTATAATTTTTTTTTGCAACGTTATGGGCTTCAACTCGGTTAACTTAACTTGGGCCCTATTGTTGATTTTTCTGAAGTAAATAACGTGACGTGAATCATGACTATTCACAAGCTAAAGTTTTATGGTATAGGCTAAATGCTTGGAAATGATATTTAACAATTTCAAGTCCATTATTTGTAGCACGCAAGAAAGAACGCATTTTTAAACATTGCTATATTTTGGGCTAATTTAACTAACATAAACAATATTTGTAATTTTTTTATTTTGGAGTTGTAATATTTAGTTTTATAGTTTAATATATAGAATAAAAAGTGTTTTTACGCTCTTTAATTTGTACTGAGATAATTCGGCAGTAGTGGCATATGAATCAATGATATTTTCCTCTTTAATATTTGCAGCAAGAAATAAACATGAATATTTGAATGCATGTTAAAAAAATCTGAACAATTTAATACAAACGAATGTCTCATGAAATCGATCAATCAGAGTTTAAAAAAACGTCAATAAGTCTGCATTTTATTGCTGTTTATAATGTTAAATGTGAAGAATGACGGATTCCACATACTTTTTTTTTTCGCCATCTCCTCATTGGACGTGCCTTTAGAGAGAAGTGCATCTTTATGGATTACATAATGAAAGAGATTTTGTTTTCGATTTGAATTATTTCGTTTTAAAATAGTAATGTAAAGCATTGTATAGATATATTTATCATGTCGGTAAGGCAAGTATTCGCTGAGTTTCAGTTCATCATTGTGAGGCGCTCCTGCTCAAGACAGAGACGACAGAAAGCGCATCAGAAAGCATTTGTATTCCTTGTTTTACAAAAGCACAAGGTTTTGTTGATATTGTGAGTGCACACAAATAAAAGTAGACTTTGCAGTTCCGAATGAGGTATACTCTTACCTTTATGAGCAAAAATGAGCATATTTTTAAGATTCCACTGTTATTAAAAAAAAAAAAAAGCAAGTGATGGCGCTGGCACCTCCATGTCCTGCAGACATGTCCTTTTCCATGTCCTTCAGCTTCCACTCTCTGCACAAACGATTGGATATGCGCCTAACAGCGCACATTTATCTAGGTTAAATGTTTAAATGAATACTGTGAAATGCACAAAGCGCTTTATGTTTATAGATTTTATTTTAGGCAAGTCGTGGTGTTGACTTGAGAAGGCTAAATTGATCAAACATATGCTCAACTCACTGTCAGCTGCAGGCCGCTTGGTCGTTCCTTTAAAAAAAATTAAAACCTGAATTTAACAAACATAAAATGTTCCAAACATATTTCTAAATTAACTTAATAAAGGAGCGAAACAAAATATTACCACTTTGCCATTAAAAACCGACACTGAACTATTTTAATGGCTGCAACAGCGGTAATGGGGAAGAGAGAGAGAGAGAGAGAGAAGACACAGGCTCCAGTCGGACTTGGGCTGAGAATTCTGATAAGCTGTCGGACAAGGGCAATTCAGAGAAATTGCAGGAAAATTCATTTCCTCGTTTCAATTAAAGTTTCCCCTCAGCTCGGCGGGCCCCCAATCTGCCCGAGCCCATATGTACCTGCATACCCAGACACTACGCCACTGAATATAAACAAAAAACCATGGCAACAAATGCTTTTTTTAAGTCAGTTTAAGAAGTTTAATAAGTTGAAACAACTTTCACAGTCAATTTGATTCAACTTGACTCATGTTTAACCATTGCTTCTTGTCATTGTAGGCTTAGGCTACTTTTTTCAATACATTTTAATGGATATACAAATTAATAAAATTAATTTTATTTATTTTTTATTACATATTGTTGATTCATTTATTTTTAACACCGCACCCCCAAGCCCCTACCAAGTATTGAGTACATGTACAGTAAATGGACATACTTTCCAGAAGGCCAACAATTCACTAAAAATGTTTTTTTTTATTGGTCTTATGAAGTATTATAATTTGTTGAGATAGTGAATTGGTGGGTTTTTGTTAAATGTGAGCCAAAATCATCACAATTAAAAGAACCAAAGACTTAAACTACTTCAGTCTGTGTGCACTGAATTTATTTAATACACGAGTTTCACAATTTGAGATGAATTACTGAAATAAATGAACTTTTCCACGACATTCTAATTTATTGAGATGCACCTGTAGCTTGGTCTTCACTTTAGTAAATGACACATGACCAGAAATATATCACATGACCTCATAGTTAAGGACTCCCATTCTATCTGTCAAACATAAAACAACAGGAGAGGAGGCATTGAGGACACAATAAAGGAGATGCAGAGATCACCCAGTGACTGATGTAATAATGTATGGAAATTAAAGCACACCCTCTCATCACTATATTGCTGATGACATTTCACTTGAATGTGCCCGCCAATTTTTATTCATTCTGTTTTTATGTTGAATTAGATAGCCTAAGTTGAATTAGATTAGATTGATTAAATAAAGATCGTAGGTAAATAATATTATAATGTAATAATAATGGCTGTAATGACAGCAATTTTTTTCCATATTAAAATTTAATTATATTTAATTATCCCAGTTTTATATATATGTGTGTATATGTATA